TGTAGGGAAGTGATATGGGAGGGTGGGCAGGAAAGAGGTGTTTGGATAATTTGATATCTGAATTTTCTACATTAAAAATACATTTATACATAATATATAATACCTAATTGTAAAGCTAAAATATTTTAATGAAGGATCATGGTTAAGGCATTCACATGGATTGGGGGCTGCAGTGGGATGATATGCGTAAGCAAAACCAGAAGCAATGAGAGCATTTAGAAGAGTAGCTCAGAGCTGAAGTGAGAGAGAATGGCCCCCCTAGGCTCTGGGCAGGTTGGTTGCGGAAGTTCACGTCTCAAAGCAGACAAGTTCTAAAGTCAGGAATAAGGCAATATTGAAAGGACTTGGTGATAGTTATATCCGGGTGCACAGGGAGTCAATGTTGTTGATTCCAGCTTTCTTGCTCTATGGCCCTCACCACCTCATACATTCCCCATCCTAAGTTCCCTTCCCAGGGGCATTGCTATTAAAGGCTTATTATGCACCTCTGCAGGCGTTCACTTCAATTTCCCTGCATTTTCACACAAACACATACAACAATTTTTCTTCCCTTCTTTCTTCCCTCTTTATTTTTGTCCTTTCTCCCTTCCTCTCTCTCTCTTTCTTTCTTCTTTTTGTTTGTTTTTGTTTGTTTGTTTGTTTTGGGGTTTTTTTTGCGGTACACGGGCCTCTCCCTGTTGTGGCCTCCCCCGTTGCGGAGCACAGGCTCCGGACGCGCAGGCTCAGCGGCCGTGGCTCACGGGCCCAGCCGCTCCGCGGCATGTGTCTCACCCAGTGCGCCGCCAGGGAAGCCCCCCCTGCTTTTTCCTCTTTTCCATCCTGTCTCTCTCTCTTCTATACTGCCCAATACTCTCTCCTACCTATAGTTTGGCAGACTGCCAAAAGGTTTTAAAAGAACCCAGCTACATATCACAACTTCTTTATCCCTTCATCTGTCAATGGACACTTAGGTTGCTTCCACGTCTTGGCTGTTGTAAACAATGCTGTTATGAACATTGGGGTACATGTATCTTTTCGAGTTAGTGTTTTCATCTTTTCTGGTTATATGCCCAGGAGTGAGCTTTCTGGATCATATTGTTAACTCTATTTTTTGTGTTTTAAGCAGCCTCCATACTGTTCTCCATAGTGGCTGCAAAATGGAATATTACTCAGCCATAACAATGAAGAAATAATGCCACTTGCTGCAACATGGATAGACCTAGAGATTATCATACTAAGTGAAGTAAGACAGAGAAAGACAAATATCATATGATGCCACTTATATGTGGAATCTAAAAAAAAAAAGATACAAATGAAGTTATTTACAAAACATAAACAGATTCACAGACTTAGAAAAGAAATTTATGGTTACCAAAGGGGTAAAGGGGAAAGGGATAAATTAAGAGCTTGGGATTAACAGATAAACACTCTACTGTATATAAAATAGGTAAACAACAAGGTCATACTGTACAGCACAGGTAACTATATTCAATATGTTATAATAACCTATAATGGAAAAGAATCTGAAAAAAAAAATATATGACTGAATCACTTTGCTGTACACCAAAAACTAATACAACGTTGTAAATCAACTACACTTCAATAACAAAATAAAAAAGAACCCAGATACCTCCATAGAATGTCTGGATTCTTGCAGCATTAACTAAAATTTTTAGTGTCTAAACATACATATCCATATAAATTTGAAAACTTTAAACATTTAGATCTCTATCACTATCACGATGCAAGAATTTTTAAAAACGTGTTTTGCAGTATGTTCTGATAGCCAATGAAAAACATTTTGTTAGACTTAGGAAAAAATAGATTTCAAAGCAGAAGCCTGTTGTCCTGTTTTAGACAGTATAGTTATCTAATTCCATGAATTTTAAACCCAAGAATTATGGGGTATCTTACCCGGACTTTTTCCTTTCTTTAACTTTACAATCATCCATACATGTAATCCTCTATAAATTCAGATGATGCATTCAGTAAAGGCTAACTTATGCTTACAGTTAAGAGGTCTGATTAAAAGTGACTGTGAAAAGAATAGTTACTTTTGAATATAAATTCCACTGAGTTGGATAAGGCTCTTAAAAAAAACTCAGTTTGAAAGATGGAGGGCAATGTGTTCAGGACAAATCATCTCATATATTCAGCAAAGTCAAAATTAGGGTATTACGTGATGGTAGCCGAACATTTTTATATGCAAAGATTCAAATTAAATTAGGTTATACAAAATAAATAGTTAAAGGGTAAAGAATCACGAGACACACATTCCAACTCTCTTATGTGCTGATTTAACTTTCAGATATTTTTCAGGAGGCTGTGTGTGTATAACATTCACTGCTGCTGACCTCAGTGGCACTGGTTGTGTACAGTTAATCACTCCTGAGACCAGTGAAGTCTGTCAGTTAAAAGCATTTTCTGCGCATCTTCTCAGTATGCATCCCTGTCCTGGGAGCTGTGTGTGTGTATATGAAGGTATTGCAGAGGGTTAGAAGAGGAGATACCAAAAATCAATGCAAGGTATGTCAGGGCAGAATATATTTCAATATAGTCATAGGGAGAAATCTCTAATGAGTGAAAGAAGAGAACAATTAAGTAATAAGATAAGTGCCCTGACCATCGGCACAATACAACTTCAAAGAAGAGAGTGTTAGCCACCTTCTGGCTGGAGGTTTGAAAGTCTCCAACCTGGACTCCACCCCTAAAGCAGCCTTCCTCCATCCTCTGTGCTTCTTCCAGAGATTTTTCTAAAATGTGCATCTTTTCATTTGTTCTCGTTACTTTAAAATTTTTCGGTGGCTTTGTACTCCCTTGAGGGTAATGTCCAACCTCCGTAGAGTAAACAGAAAACTCTAATGCTTCAAGCTGCTGTACCTTCACATACAAGGTCCGTCTCTGAGGACCATCATCTATATTCACTCTACCTGATAGGCACCTACTTGTGCATACAAGATACTTGTGTGTTCAAGGTCAGGTTCATGTCCCAAACCCAATACATGAGGTATTTTCTGGAACACGCCACCTTGACCAAGTTGAATTGACAATTTTGGTCCCCTTTATGGCTTCTGAATCCAGTTACTCTAGAATCTGTGATATTTTATTCCTGAGTCTCCATGTTAGGCTGTAAACCCGTAGAAGGACTCGTGTCTTTGTCTCCATAGTGGGATGCCACGCATCTAATAATCCCTTCATTTGCTGAATAAGATAACAGAAAAAGAATTACTGAAGGAGGTAGTACTTGATCTGGGTCTCCAGTTATTGGTAGGATTTGGGCAGGATTATGGGCAGGGGAAGAGGTATGAGCAAAGGTTTAAAGTATATATATATAATTATATGATGTTTGTGTGAGAGAGGGAGAGAAAAAGAAAGAGAGAGATGTTTGGAATAGGGGAGCTTAACTTCGATGTGTCGCATGAGACCACATTCTGAAACCCTGAGAAGCTACAACATGATGATACCACATGAAATAAATAACTTGGGAAAAAAGCCCTATGTATTAGGAAGAGGCTGAAGAATAAAATCATGTTGATTTTGAGTTGAGAAGCCCTGTGATCTCTTCCTTTTCCTTGTATGTCATACCCTTTTATAAAATCTTCTTTCCAGTGGAATTGATATGTATTAGAATCCAGTGAAGTGTTAATTAAATACTATATGGTTGGAAAAATAACACTATTAAAACATATTTAATCTAATGCCTTTGATTACAGTTATAATAAATATATTTATATTTATCACGAGCAATTTGCATATCATCCTTTGATTAAATCCACTAATAATAGGTAAAGTTGGTTATCCTGGTACCAAAGAAGCCTAAAATCTAGTTGGGGTTGAAGGGGTTAGAGGGGGAGCTAATATTGAACATCTACTCTAATCTAGGCACCAAAAATTTATATAGTGTATCCAATTTAGCCCTCATAACTATCCTGGATGGTAGGAATCACTAGCCTCATGTGTATATATGAAGAAATTAAAGCTCAGAGAATTGAAATACCATCCCCAAGATTACCTAGCTATGAGTAGAGGAGCTTTTCTTCAGCCCTAGGCCCCCAGCACTTGAAAATGAGAAACAAAAGTCAGCCTTTTTTTTTTTTTTAGCATCCTAGCAGAACTGTTAGAAATAAATCTGATATCAAAGATATTTTAGTATCTTAGTAATCAGGAGAGCATTTCTCAAAGTAAATTCTAATTCTAATCAAGTCAGTTCTAATTCACACAAAAACATGTACTTTTTGTAAATAATGTGGAAATAAAGGCTTGGGGTGAGGGGAAGGAAGACAGTTATCCTCTTAGAAATGTTGATTAAGCCAGTATTTTGTAGCCCTTAAAAAATTGTGGTATTTAACTACGTCAATTAATTTAGTTGCTTCACGTCATACAATCCCTCCATAAAGCTCCATCCTAGTACATTTAAGAGACTCAATCTGGAAGTCACGTAGTGGCTTTTAAAATTAAAGTGTAGAATTCTTCCCCAAGGTTTTAAGGAAGACTGGGCGTGTGACATTCTTTAGTGAGGTGTTCTTCCCCTCTGGCCTAATCCTTTCATCCCACCCTTGCGGTAACATGTAAAATGACTAAAGCTATCTCGGCTCTCAATACCATAAATCTTCATGTAAATAGCACAGAGCTTAGCAACGACAAATAGGG